GTCCCGGGCGTCCCCCCCCCCCCCCCCAGCAATTTGCGCTATATCCCCCCAACTTTTGTGGTGCTTTGCTTTTAACAGGTTGGCCACCCGGTCTAGATATACCCTGTATGCTGCTTCCTGTCTCTCACAGAAAGCTGTCAGGTTGGTTTGACAATTTGTTCTTGAAAAATAGCTCACCATCTCCTCAGCTGTATAGTCTAGTATGCATTTCCTCGGGCATGTATATACATAGACTTGTATTTTATTTAATGTAGCTCCCGCCCTTGTTGTTTTACTACTGGCAAAAAGAGCTGCAACCCCTGGCTGCTTCTCCAGCTTGTGTGTCTCCAGAGGCAGGGTGGGGCCCAACCACTACAGACAGGCCTAGAGGAGGGGGAGGTGCTTTGCCCACCCCATAACACTGGAGCAGATACAACTGTGTACTTTAGAGCAGGCTTCTAAGCCAGCTGTTTGCAAACTGGGTGTGGTTGGGGGGAAGGAGGCAAGAGAGCTGACAGACTTGCAGGGGTCCAGGGCCAAAGCGGAGGCCCTGGGGCTACGTCTAGACTGGCATGATTTTCCGGAAATGCTTTTAACGGAAAAGTTTTCCGTTAAAAGCATTTTCGGAAAAGAGCGTCTAAGATTGGCGCGGAGTTCGTATTATAACGATGCGCTTTTGCAGAAAAGCGTCCATGCCAATCTAGATGCGCTTTTCTGCAAAAAAGCCCCAATCGCCATTTTCACGATTGGGGCTTTTTTGCAGAAAACAAATCTCAGCTGTCTACACTGGCCCTTTAGGTTTTGCGCAAAAGGACTTTTGCCCAAATGGAGCAGCATAGTATTTCTGCAAAAACACTGACAATCTTACATGAGATCGTCAGTGCTTTTGCGGAAATTCAAGTGGCTGGTATAGACAGCTGGCAAGTTTTTCCAGAAAAGCAGCTGATTTTCCAGAAAAACTGGCCAGTCTAGACACAGCCTGGGGGTTCTGCTTTGATCCATTGTTTGAAGTGGAAATACTGTTTTATGACTGCTTATGATCTGATTTTGAATAGTGCAACAGACTATATTTTCAAAGTCCGTTACTATCACAAAGCAGAGACATCCAAGGCTACTATGGTTTGAGCTATAGGTTTGTATCTGGGGGCTGCCGTTTCCGGGCTTTCACCTCGCCCAGGCGCCACATTGGCCGCCACCTCAACCAATAGGAGCTGAGTCTACGGGTGTGGCGGGGGAGAGGGCGGGTGTCTATTTCTCAAGCGCACGCGCCGCACTTTGTTTTCAAGGCGCATGCGCCGTTTCACCAGTCCAATGGCGCCCCGGACTCCCAGCAGGGGGCAGCAAAGGGTCTCGAGCAGGCGGGGCTGGGGGCGCGCTCTAGAGGTGCCGGGGCTGCAGAGTAAGACGAGGCTGGTCTGTCCCCGCCTGGCCGCTTTCTCCACGGAGCGCTCGGGGAGCTGCGTCCCGCCGCCCCGCAAGGTCAATGGGGCCCCGGACTCGGCCTCAGAGCAGAGGATGGAGCCTGGGCAGAGATTGCTGCCCCCAAGCGGCTCGGGAACCTCACGCGCGGGGAAGGAGGAGCAGCTGCCAGGATGCCACAGCCTGGCCTAGCAGGGAGGGGCCACTGGGCTCAGCGTGGTCACCTCCAGCCCTGCCGTTCCTCCTTGGATTAGAGACAAACCGCTCCTTCCTCTGACCTTGGAAATGGAAGACCAGCAGGCGCCTTTGACGTTAGACCCCCCCTCCTCCGCCCACCTAGCTCCACCATGGATTGGGATGGAAAGGGACATCAGATATATACCCTCCTCCTCCCCCAAAAGACTGCTGCAGCCCCTGCAGAAACACTAAATCCTGCCCCCAAAAAACCGTATTTGTTACTAAATAGTTCAAAGAGCCAGCAGATAGACCATCACTGAAAACTAGCTTCCTACTGGCAACCATTCCCATCATGCCCAGAGGCACAGCTGAGCCCATTTCACACATTCCTGGTGGGAAAGTGCCTAAGTAAATTGCAGCAGCTCAGGCTGCTCTCCCTTATTTGTGTCACTACTCAGTAGGGCTAGGAGGCTGGAGGAGGAGGGGAAGGGCTGAGAAGGAAGATTTTCTGATCCCCCTTCCCCTCACTCACTCTGAAAACTGAAGAATCCCTTGGGGGAGACTGGATGCAAAGGAAAAAAAGAGCAGAAGCAGATTCAGCTGGTATTAGCACAAAACAAGTCTGAGGAAGGAATTAAACAAATATAATTACAAGATCCTTAGCCCACACAATGGCTACGTCTACACTGCAGGCGTCTTGCACAAGGACTGTTTTGCGCAAGAGTTCTTGTGCAAAAGGTCTTCCACAAGAGTGTGTCCACACTGCCATGTGCTTTTGTGCAAGAGTGTGCATGGCAGTGTCGATGCTTTCTTGCACAAGAAATTCATGTTGCCTGGCTACACTGCCTTCTTGTGGCAGGCAACAAGGCTTATTCCTTGTGGGGAGAGGAATAACTTCTGGAAGAACCCCTGTTTTCTGACACTGTATTGTAAATTTACATGCGCAAGAACACCCATGCACTGTAGACGCTCCGCAAGTTTTTGCGCCAGAACAACTATTCTGGCGCAAAAAGCCTGCAGTGCAGATGTAGCTAATATGTTTAGGTGACATTAACCCTGTAAAAGTAGCTAAAGAATGCATAGATTTAGTAAGAGCCAGGAGGTTGTAAGCTGGGGGAGATCTTTTAGCTGAATATAAAATTTAAAAAAGAGCATATTGGTAAACTGGTTAAAAATAAAACAAAACCTGAAACACTTGGGCTACGTCTAGACTGGCATGATTTTCCTGAAATGCCTTTAACGGAAAAGTTTTCCATTAAAAGCGTTTTCGGAACAGAGCGTCTAGATTGGCACGGACACTTTTCCGCAAAAGCACTTTTTGGGGAAAACCGTCCGTGCCAATCTAGACGCGCTTTACTGCAAAAAAGCCCCAATCGCCTTTTTTGTGGAAAACAAATCTCAGCTGCCTACACTGACCCTTTTGCGCAAAAGTTTTGTGCAAAAGGAACTTTTGCCCGAACGGGAGCAGCATAATATTTCCGCAAGAAGCACTGATTTCTTACAGTAGGAAGTCAGTGCTTTTGCGGAAATTCAAGTGGCCAGTATAGACAGCTGGCAAGTTTTTCCGGAAAAGCAGCTGATTTTCCGGAAAAACTGGCCAGTCTAGACACAGCCTTGGGGAAGTTAAAGTCAGCCAGCAGGTAACAGCATATTTGACTGAGACAAAGAGGGTAATATATGAAGAGCCTTTAGAACTGATCAACAATGCAATAATAATGGTATAGGAGAAGACTTACTTACTTACTGCCCGTTACGCCAATGGCGCATAGGGCAGCAACAAAGTCCTTCCACTTCTGTCGGTCGCAGGCCAAAGCGCCTATTGTTCCCCAAGTATGATGATGAACTTTTAATTCTTGTTCTACTGTTCGGCACCAGGTTGTTTTTGGTCTTCCTCTCTTTCTCTTCCCATCTGGTTTCCAGTGGAGTGCAATTTTCATAATAGATCCGTCCTCTCTTCGTAACACATGACCTATCCATCGCCAGCGTCTTTTCATAATTATAGTGGCCATGTCTTCTTGTTTACACTGAGACAGTAGATCTTCGTTGGAAATTTAAAAGTAAAAAAGGAATCATATAAAAAATGGAAAGTAGGACAAATTACAAAGGATGAATATAGGCAAACAGCACAGGAATGCAGGAGCAAGATTAGAAAGGCAAAGGCACAGAATGAGCTCAAACTAGCTACGGGAATAAAGGGAATAGGAGAAGAGAAAGGTATTAATTAAGCAACTAATTTGTAAATGTGTGGAGTAAATTAACAGAGGAGACTGCAAATCATTTACAGCAATTGATTACATTTAAGTGCAGGCATCTATCTGAGAAAGTAACACTAGGGTTTCAGAACTCTAGAGTCAAACTATAAATTTCCCCTTCCCCAAAAGTGCCACATGTACCCATGGGGAGGGCATGTAGCAAATGTTTGGCAAGGGAA